AAATACTTCCTAATCACTATGTTCTATCTATATATAATTCTTATAATATTTCTCTAAAATTACAAACTAATACACCTATCTTCCTCTCTACTCCTTTTACTTCTCCCAGAACAACCTCCAATTTAAATCAACCTACTAACAATCATCTAAGCAACTCTGGATCTAGATCCAACCAAGCACTTAATCTATCTATCTGTATATATAATGTACAAGGATATAACACTGACCTTAAACAACAAATTTGAGAGGATTTCTGTCTTTTTAATAACTTAAATATTATTAGCATTACTGAAACTAAAATATCAAACACCAATCCTATCATCAAATTACAAAGATCTAGTTAATTAAGCAATTTTTGAGTGGCGGATCTGAAGGATCGTTTGCGCAATTAACGACATTATCTGAATTATCAGAAAATAGTATTCAAGGATGGGATAGTAATGAAATTATTAATCAAACCATGCGCCAATGTGATGAAATATTCATAGGTTTGCTCGAAAATTTAAACAAATTATTGGAAATTAAGCCAAATGATATAGTTGCACTAAATTTACGTGGGTCCTTATATCAATTTCGGAAAGAATATGATAAATCACTTGTAAATTTAAATAGATCTTTAGAAATGTATCCCAATAATGTTAAAACACTTAATCTTCGTGGCACAACTTACCAAAGAATGGGTAGATACGAAGATTCACTCAACGACTTTAATAAATCCTTAGAAATCAAGCCAAATGATGTGGAAACATTATTTAATGTTGGATTCACTTACCAAAAAATGGGTAGATACGAAGATTCACTCGCAATCGCCAATAAATTATTAGAAATTATGCCAAATAATGTTATGGCTTTACAACTTCGTAGAATTAATTATTATTTTATGGGTAAATATAAAGACTCACTTGAAGATCTAAATAAATTACTTGTTATCGATCCAGGAGATGTTTCAACACTCAATCATCGAGGATTAGTTTATCGAGAAATGGGTGAATACGACAAGTCGCTTGTTGATTTAAATCAATCTTTGAAACTCTTATCAAATAATGCGGAAACATGGAGTTTACTCGGATCAATTCATCAGAAAATGGATAACTTTGAAGAATCACTCAAAGAATTAAATAATGCGGAAACATGGAGTTTACTCGGATCAATTCATCAGAAAATGGATAACTTTGAAGAATTACTCAAAGAATTAAATAAATCATTAAAATCTAAGTCGAATTATGCTTTGGCATTAAATTACCGTGGAACAACTTATCGAATGATAGGTGAATTTAAAAAATCACTCGAAGATTTAGAAAAATCATTAGAAATTAATCCAAACGATTCCACAACATTAAATAATCTTGGATTAACTTATCATGACATGGGAGAATATGAGAAATCAATTAAAATTTTAACTAAGTCATTGGAAATTAGACCAAATGATTATAAAACATTGAATAATCGTGGAATGACTTTTTTAAGGTTGGGCAGATATGTAGAATCACTTGTAGATTTAAATGAGGCATTAAAATCAAAACCTAATGATGCTACAACGTTAAATAATCGTGGAGTGATTTATCAATTTATGGAAAGATATGAAGATTCACTAAAAGATTTAAATAAATCATTAGAAATAAGACGAAATCATATTATTACATTAAGTAATCGTGGCTGGACTTATAAACATATGGGAAAATATGAAGAATCAATTAAAGATTTAAATGATGCTTTAGGAATTAAATCGAGCGATACAAAGATTGTAAAGAGGTATGAAGATACATCTATGAGGTTCGGAACCTGTGCATTTTGTGGTCAGTTTAATACTGGATATCTTTTTTGCCGTTCATGTGATTCTCAAATAAGTCATGAGTGGACTAGTGGCGATAGTGATATAGATAATTTTATAAAGAGTGCACAACAATATACAGAATATTATAACAAAATAATCGAATGGATACCTTTCGAAAAATTAAAAATTATTAAAAAACTTGGTGAAGGTGGTTTTGGCACAGTATATTCTGCAATTTGGATTGATGGCAAACGGAAATATATAAAGGCAAATGATAAAGTTAAACAACTAATGACATCTCGTGAACAGAACTGCATGGTTGCTCTAAAAGTCATAAAAAGTGACAAACCATCGGACTTTCTGAATGAGGTAAAAATAACTTGACATTATTGTTTACGAAATTATTGTTTACTATAAGTAATATCGTTAATACAATTATTTTTTTCATATAAAGTTTAAAGCTCATTATGAATGTCAGCTTAGAAGGTATGATGTAGAAAAATATGGAATAGAAATATATGGAATTACTTACGGCACAATAGGCACAGAAAAAAAGGCAAACAAGAAGGAATATATGATAGTATTTGAATTTGCGGATAAAGGAAATCTTAGAGAATACGTCTGTGAAAATTTTGCAACTCTTAAATGGGAGCAAAAAATAGACATTCTTTGTTCAATATCAGATAATTTAGATCATCTCTACAAACAAGGTTATATTCATAGAGATTTACACAGTGACAATATACTTATGAAAAGCGTTTGGGATTTTAAAGATCTTGAAATTAATATTTTTACCCTAGGTAGCAAGATAGTAGTAGTCTCACAAAATATTGAAGGTAGAAATAAACTATGTGTAGAGCCAAAGATTGCGGATTTAGGTTTTGCCAGAAAAATAAATGATGCAACAGGAAATACAGGAATATTTGGTAAAATATGTTACATTGCACCTGAAATAATATTTTTACGAGGGGATTATACACATAAATCAGATATTTACAGTCTAGGGGTAATTATGTTGGAGATGTCAACAAGAATGCCATTCTCCAATGATGTTTCAAATGATAATAATGTGATTGCAAATAAATTTATACCTCCAGAATTTGCACCAGAGACACATAGTTCATATAAACAACTTGTGGAAAGATGTATGAATCAAAACCCAGGAGAACGTCCATCCGCAGAAGAAATTTATAAAACTCTTAAAATGTGGAAAGAAATACTTAAAAAAAAAGAATTAAATGAAACTCAACTTAAAATAAAAAAAGGATTTTTAAAAGCGGATAAATATACTCCACCAACATTACAAGATTTAGACGTTTTGCGGAGTAACGATTTTACGGATTCTGAAGGTAAATATAAACTTTTATAATAATGTAGTTCATATAAAAAGATTTTAATTATATTCATTAATATAATTCTTGTAATTAATATTCATAATTTTTACTAATTACAATAGAACTTATTATCAATAATGATTTTGAAGGTAAATATATACTTATTTGTATATGTATTAACAAAATTCTTGTAAATATATTCATAATTTTTCACTAATTATAATAGAACATAAATTTATTATTAATAAAGATTCTAAAGATTCTGAAGGTAAATATATATATTTATTTGGATTAATTTTAGTATAGCTGACACTTCTATTTGGCACTGGTGCGGCGAATCATTCCTGTAAATACATATATTTATAATTTTTATTAATTATAATAGAGCATAAATTTATTATCAATAATGATTTTAAAGATTCTGAAGGTAAATATATATTTAATTTTATCATAGCTGACACTTCTATTTGGCACTGGGTGCGGCGAATCATTCCTGTAAATACATATATTTATAATTTTTATTAATTTTAATAGAGTATAAATTTATTATCAATAATGATTTTAAAGATTCTGAAGGTAAATATATACTTATTGGTATATTTATTAGCGGGATTTTTGTAAATATATTCAAGTGTTTTATTAATTATAATAGAGCGTAAATTTACTATCTATAATGATTTTGAAGATTCTGAAGGTAAATATATACTTATTGGTATATTTATTAACGGGGATTCTTGTAAATATATTTATAATTTTTATTAATTATAATAGAGCATAAACTAATCAAAAATGAATCCGAAGGTAAATATAAACAAATATCCGATAATATACTATATTTAATAGTTTTTATTTATCAATTTAATTAATAATAGAACATAACTTTATTATTAATAATGATTCCGAAGATAAACCAGGAGGTAAAATATAAACATTTGATATATTTAATGTCACGGCTGATGGCAGATCGCATGTCGATCAGGGAAAAATCAAAACAAACCCTAACCAACGACAAAGTTCTTCAAGTTCGTTTGTGTTAGGGTTATCGTCTATATTAACGTTAGAGTTTAGAAGGTTATACAGTAAAATCGCTCAAGGAAAACTTTTTGTTAGTATACAAAGTGTTGTTTTTTTTATGATGATTTTTGAGAAATCAGCGATTTTTGGCAATTTCAAGCCCGATTTTCACGTGATATTCAGCATCAGCCAAATTTAGCATCAGCCGTGACATTTAATAATAAATTATTATAAATTATAATAAATTAAATCTTTATTTTTTTCCCATACTTTTATTTAAAATAATCAATTGCAATAATTGCCTGTTACAGATTTACAATAAACAAAGCTATAAATGCAGATTATTAAAATTAGGTTAGGACCAAACATAATTTATAATAGCAAAAAATATGTCAAAGATTGTTTTTTATACACTTCATCCTTCTAATATCAGCCCATTTGGATCACTTTTATATTCATGTTGATAGTGATATTAATGAGGGAATTTTAATATAATTTTAATATATAGAAATTCATTTTGTTGTTTAGATCGATATTAACGAGGTTGATATTAACGAAGGTTAAGTGTACTATACTTTATGCTAACTTTAGGTTTTCTTAAAAAGTTATTTTGTTATACAAAAAAATCATTTATATTTAGTAAAATTGTTTTTATTAAAGCTTTGTTTATTTTAGAACTAAATGACATAGTTTTGTCGTTTGAATTTAAATAAATTGTTAGTTTATAATAAGGAATAGAGACAAATCAAATAATTCCTCATATACCTGTCAATTTAGTCAATAAAACTGCAAATCAGGTATAATATATAATCAATTATTATTGTATAACAAGCATACAGTCAAACCCCTCTATAGTCATCTTCTTTATAGTCACAAGATTAATATAATTACAAATTTATTTTTACCAATTATTTATAACTATATAGAAAATACCTCTATATTAGTCACACCTCTCTACAATCATGGTTTTTTGTATCCCAAAGGTGTGACTATAGAGAGGTTTGACTGTATTATTTAAAATTAATAACGAAATTTGTTATATTGAATCTTCCAAGAGATTTCGTTACATAACAATCTCATTATAACAAATTAAAAAATTTTCAAACCAATTTTTGTATAGAAAAGCAATTGCATTTTCAGTTTTGGTAGTTCCGACAATTTCTCCAGTCCCCTGTTTCGCCTACAATTACAATAGAACCTTGGACTTAGTAACCCCTACAGAAACTTAAGATGTTAAAGGATTAATAAGGATTAAAATAAAGTAGTGTAACCATCGTATGGGAGAGCTTCCATCATTCATGCCGAGTTTAACTCCAATGGCTGACGGTATTAGACATTTATGGAAAAGAATGTATATTTATGTATTCTTTATTTAAGGACGATTTCAGAGAGCATACATTAGATACATTAGATGGTGAACTAAGGGCGAGAGCAACCCTTTATACATGTTGTGCCTCGGATCAATTTTTGCCTCAGGTGATAACTGAGGCATCTCAGGTATTGATCGTTTGGCCGGCATTAACTGATCGACATTAATTGGCCTAAACTATAGCCTAATCTTTACCCAAACTCTAACTCTAATTCAGGCTGATCGACACCTGAGGCAAGAATTAATCTGAGGCACAACAACATATACATACATTCGAATTTCACATAACGTGAAAGCCAAGATGGCAGCGCTTACGCACAAACGGCTACGTTTACAACACTACCGTTACGTTTACACCACCACGGCTACGTCTACGCAACCATGGGGACGTTTATGCGCCTTGAGTAACATCCATATGATTAAGCCACTAAGAATACATAATAATGCTGTTTATTTTGATTAGTGAATATAATAGATAAACGTTCTTTCGAAGTGAAAATGACTTTTGCAGTGATTTTTTATTAGTGAAACGTTAAATTCCCAAAAAGTACTTTAAAGTGTATAAATAAGTTACCCAGGCAATTGATTTACATCAGCCAATCAGACGAATGTCTCCCTATGAGATTGAAGGTTATAACTAAAAAGCTCAACTATAATCAATCAATTAGCATAGCTATCTTATATAACTATGGCCCTATCAAGCAAAGCCCGAAGGAAAATCCCTCGGGCGCCATTTAAATTTCTACTAATTTTAAGTTCACACATAAATCCCTTGATCACACCTTTTCAATGATAATGAAAGTCATTGATTGTATTGGATAGGACGTGGTAGCTTATAGAATTACTCAACCTAATGCATTGTTTCGCTTTTCATAGAATCTGGTCTTATGGTCAGATATCTGATGAGAGGTACAGATACAAAATATAACCAAGTTTCTAAAAAAATCTTTCAGACCAGACACGAAATGCGCACATTTGTTAAATCTTTGAGAGGTTAGTGTAAGATCATATGATTTTGCAGTCCCATAAAACCATATAATATCCATTATTATCTACTATTTTTAATTAATTTTGCTATAAATTAAATATTTATTTTTTATATTTAGAAACATTAAACTATACTATATATATACCTTTCGTGATCCCATAGAATTTAATAATATTTGGATGGGAATCAATTACAATTTTAATATAATGAATACTTCATTAACAAATTCTTTAACAACATCTTCATTTCCCGTGTCTGTATCGATTTTAAGACATTTAAGTGCAATTGTTAAATAACAATCTTTACATTCATATTTTAAACCGTTTGCGAAACCGCTGATGCCGGTCTTTATAGGGTTTGTAAATTTATAAAATTCAAGATAATTAATATATCCATCTGAAATAGCTTTTTTAAGCCATTCTTCTTGCGCATTTATCATGATTTTTTGCAAACAATAATGATCTTGATCGAAAAAACTATATATGCAGTATGGTAATGATGGAGCCCTCGAAGTTTTAGTTAATAATCAAAAAATTAATTAGTTATTAATAGTTAGTAATAATTAATCATTTCGATCATTGTAAATAATTCTTATTTATTTACATAAAAACTGCAGATTAAATACATAAAAATAATTGTATACGAAACATTAAGCTTTAAAAAGTACCGAATTTCTGAAAAATTAATTAAATAATGATAACTATCTCAACACATAGATGAATTGATTTTTGATTATATAGTTTATATTCGTCAAATTAAAATTCTTATGCATTTCTGAAATCTGTGACAGGTTAGCCGATAACATGACATACTATTTAGGACCGTCAGTCAATTTGACTATAACG